TGAGGCACGCCGTAGTATCGAAGAAGCTGCCATAGTGTTGTTCTGTCCACACTACCAAATGCTTTTTCGTAGTCAATGAAGTTGATGTAGAGTGATGAATTCCATTCAATTGATTGTTCCACAACGATCTGTAGAGTTGCGATTTGGTTTGTACATGATCGATTCTTTCGGAATCCAGCCTGTTGATCTCGAAGTTGGGAGTCTACGGAGTTCTTCATCCTGTTTAACAATACCTTGTTGAAGACTTTTCCAGGTATTGAGAGAAGAGTGATGTCTCTATAGTTCTCACACTTGCTAAGATCGCCTTTCTTTGGTATCTTGATCAGACGTCATTCTTTCTAATCTGTTGGTACTTGTTCTTCATTCCAAATCTTGCTGAGAAGAATGCAGAGTATCCTTGCAGTTACTGCTACTTCTGCTTTTAGTGCCTCTGCTGGAATAATGTCTGGTCCTTCTGCTTTGCCACTCTTGATTTGTTTGATGACTACGCTGATCTCTTCAATTGTTGGTGGGCCGACATTGATTGGGAGGTCCGTGGGTGTTTCTTCGATGTTGAGTGGGTTCAATGGGGCTGGTCGATTCAAGAGTTCTTTAAAGTGTTCTACCCACCTGTTTCGTTGTTCTTCAATGTTGGTGATTACCTTTCCTTCCTTGCTTTTCACTGGTCGTTCTGGTTTACGGTGATTTCCAAAGAGTTTCTTTGTTATGTCATACAGTTCTCTCATGTTTCCTTCTCTTGCAAAAGTGATCCATTCCTTGTGATGGTGCTTCTTGTGGCCCAGAATCTCATGACATGTCGAAGTGATTGCCTCTTTGATCCCCTTCCAGTTGCTGTCCATAGTAGTTCACTCTCTATTGAGTAGATCGTGAAATGCCTAAGTTCGTTGAGTTTGTCAGTATCCCGAAGAAAAGCCGTATTGAACTTTTGTGATGTTGCCCACCCCGTTGTCCAGTGGTTCTTGAGTTTCAATTTCATCTTGGCGACCAGCAAGTGGTGATCTGATGTTATGTTAGCTCTTTTTGGATTAAACCTTTTAGTCAAAGGCTCAGAGTGCGGTTCTTTAAGAAAACCACCTGCTTCGGTCTGGGAACCCGGGCAGTATCATAGCCCACACACAGGTCAAGTAACTGTTGTGGCGCATATCTATTTGGTGCTTCCTTATACCAATGTTTATGTTTAAATAAATAAATAAATCATTGAGTATACTTTGATCATTTTGTGTCATTGAATAAAAATAAAGCGAAGGAAATTTCCTCTTTTCAACAAAATCATTTACTTACATTTGTATTTACAACATATTAGTTTATAGAAGGATAGAAAAGGTTACATCATAAAGTGATTCGAGATTTTAATTATCAAATGAGGTCACGTAATAATCAAGGGATTAGATAAGATTAAAAGGATGAAAATAATTTACGGGTCAGAATTATGAAAGATAATTGTTCACTTGATAAATATGAAGAAAATCCAAAAATTATAAAGGTCATCATAAAAGGTCAAGTAAATGGTTTCGTCGAAAAGAGAAAATTTTCTTTGCTGAATTCTCTTTATTTATATTCAATGACATAATGGGTTATTTAAATTATAACAGTTGAATTGATGAATTGATCTAAGCTAGACAACTACTGAAAACCTGGAAGTTCTGGTCTGACATTTCATCATAGTATGGGACTCCTTAGCAGTGCGCATCCACAATTCCGCACAAGGAGCCTAAACCCAGGACCTTCGGTCTGGCACACAAACACTTAACTTCTATACCACTGAGCCAGAATCCAATGGTGTTAATATTAAACTTCAATCCATTTATAATGGGGATTTGTGGTGATTATAATAAATTTAATAGTTGAATTCATGAGCCAATTTAAGCTAGACCACCATTGAAAACCTGGAAGTTATATATTATCACCGTTAGATGCCGGCTCAGTGGTCTATAAGTCAAGCGTTCACGCGCGAGACCGAAAATCTTGAGTGCGAGTCTCAAATGTGAGATCATAGTTCCGCACTGCTGAAGAGCTTCCAGGCTTTTGATGGTAGTTAATCTTAGATCGACTCATGCATTCAACTGTTAAAATTACTACAATTTCCATAAATCCCAGTTCTGATGATTGGGTGCTCACTAGTGACTAACTTCAAAATGGATTTCCTGGATATCTAGCGAGAAGTCGTGATCAGTAGAGTCCAATTTGTGTCGGATGCAGACGGTTATTTACTTCAGACAATGCATGAAGGGTTGCGCAAAATCAAAGAATGTAATCTTGATATTTATTTGGTTAGCTTTTACAGATTAACTTCAAATTCATCAAAAATCGTGGATTGCCTAAAAACTATTTTGTTTAAAATACAATGATCGTGAAGAGAACTGAATATCTTAGGCTCCTTTCTACTGTAGTATTTTAAACTCAAACGATATATATTGGATATCTTTGTCAGTTGGAAATAAGTGATCATTACAAGTCTAAAGATTCTTAGTTATATCTAGAGCTTAGATTCTTGATATACCTCGTACAACTTGGACACTCGAACGCTAGACTACTCCAAGTCGCAAAATGAGAAGATAGAAGACGAGTGAAAAGGAATATTATTTCAACAGTGTCAAATATGGTACAAAACTCTCAGGTATCTATAGTTTTTAGTAAAAGTAAAATCATCATTAATGTCATCCAATTCGTATACAAGAACTTTTAGCTTTTCTCCAATAGAGGAGCTACACGTAGAGATTCTAGAATGTTCTTCCATAAGATGATTGGATGGAATATCTTCGGCTCTTTCTGAGCTTCCTCGAGTTCGCCAGTAGGCTGCCCTCACATTCTTGAACTCATCAAAATTATTATCCAGATTTTTAAAACATAGTATTTCAGAATATTATGACTCAAATGACGTCATTGACTAATAATTTATTTCATATATCCACGTTGGATGCTGGCTCAGTGGTCAAATGGTTAAACACTCGCGGGCGAGACTGATATGTCCTGGGTTCGAATCTCGCGAGTCAGAATCGTGGATGTGCACTGCTGAGGAATCCTACAATCGGACGAAATGGCGGTGCAGTTCTTCCAGGTTTTCCATGGTGGTCTAGTTTCAATTGACTCATGATCTCAATTATGAAGAATATACAAAGTATTAATTAATATTGTGATCCAGAGCTTATTACTTATAAGTTCTACAATTCCATTTAGTCGTTATTTAATTAAAAAATCTAATTCCTCTATTTGTCTTCCATGAGATTTCTGGAAGGTGAGTACTTCTTATCGATCTGACAAACGTATAAGTTTCATGTACACCTCAGTGCTAAGATTTAATACTAACTTCTAGTCTGCCTAATCTGTCTCTCTATCTATCATCTACCACCAGTTGAATTTTAATTCTTAAATTAATATTTTGGTAAAAAAGCTTCAGAGCATTTATACTCAGTCGATATAAATAAAGAGTGCTTCTTGTGCGGATTGTCTCGATATTGCCTAAATTCACAAGCATTCTAAGCAATATACACAGTATGTATATATACCAATAAGAGACTGCTCAATTGCAGTCCTAAACATCAATCGGAACAATCAAGTAAACAATACGAAGTGAATTTCAACTTCACTACATTGCATAAGCAAGTGGCTATCATACCTCAGTGGATAACGCGATGGTGTTTGAAGTGAACGGTACTGTATTCGAGTCCTTGAGTGAATACCAACTGTAGAATGCAGGTACATCCAGCTAACGAATCCCAAATAGAACGAAACCTGTGTCAAACTGTATTCCACTGCTAACCACCATCCATCTTTGCTATTTTGTCTCTATCAGTTTTATATTATTTTCATATTTATGTATAGTTAGTGTTTAAATCTTAAGCAATATCCATAAGAATGGTTATATATATCTCTTAAATGATAGTCTATGAAGACAACAGGTAATCATTATTGTTAAACATTAGTTACAGAAGAGTAGTTATTCTATTTAGGGGAATACAAACATCTAGTTGTCAATTATTTGTTTGATGTCTAGAATAGTAAATCAATGACCAGATCGAACGATCAATTTAGAAAGGTAGTGATTATGAATGTAAACCTTTTCACATTTGAAGACAATTTTTTTAACGGATTTATAACGAATAATCAAGAAATTGTTGAGGAGATCCAGAAAACTCCTCGAAAAAAAGCCGAAAAAGGCTCTGAAACATCTTATCTAACCAACATTCAATAAACGTTTTGCCAGAAACATTTAAAAAGTGAAAAGTCACATAACACGTTTCTGATTGGATGATTTTCTATACTGCATTTCAGATTTTTCCGGAAGCCTGAGATCATCTAAACTACTATAAAAATCCTAGATTCTCTGTGCATAAATGAACCTTTGAAGTAAAGCATTTTCTGCCATATTTCGCATCTCTTCACTCATGTTCAAGTCGCTGTATAGATTTGGCCATTGTTTATTTATTTATTTATTTTAACACATAGATATTGGTACAAGGAGGCACCAAATACATATGCGCCACAAAAATCTCATTCAATATGTGTGAGGGCTGTGATACTGACCGGGTGCCCAAACCGAAGCAGGTGGTTTTCTTAATGGGCCACACCTCGAGCCTTCGACCTGAAGGTCTGATCCACAAGGCAGTCCCATGGAAGCCGGTGATCAACAATTGGTTCATACACCATTTGCTCCCGCAGGATAGTGGAGTTCATGTGCACCATTGATTTGGAATCCGGTTAAAGCACCGGACATTCGCTTTTCGTCCTCTCATTTTCGTAAACAACACCCCCACCACGAGAAGGCAGTGAGTAGGACTTCCCTGGCAGAGGCTATATACGCGTGGCCATGTGAGAGCATCTCGAGAGGGAGAGAGAGAACGAACTCTCCCCACTCTCGGCCGTACCAGGGCATTTAGCCCTTGAGATGGGGAGGATTACTAGAATAGCTTAGGAAACTGAATCTAGGCATTCAATTAGAAAACTTATCATAAATAGATTGAAATAAGAAAACAAAACAATCGTAATGTTTTTTTTTCTTTAATTACATTTCAATTATTGCACATAGATATACTTTGTAATGGAGCATAAACTCTTATATATGAATATGTATATGTATATAGATAGATAAATTGCATAGTAACACATAAGTCAATGCCGTTAGCAACATATTGACAATTTTATGTAGAAAAAGAAGAAAAAAATTTCCCTTCATCTTTATTTATCGAATCCATTCATATAAACAAACAATACAATAAGTATTATTATTATATGTCCAATATTATTCTGTAAACAATACTGATGATAAGTAAGAGTTATTATGATCTAATCAGTTGGTATAGATTTCATATGTTCATAAATTGATCGTTTACCCATACGCATATTACGTAATCCACGTTTATGATAATCTGGATATCTTCTTGTATAAGCCATTTGATAATCATAATTTGGATATCTTTGCCATGTATCATAATCATCTACTTCTGTAAAACCGATTGTATTTTGAAAGTGTACACCTTTAAATAATAAAAAAAAAACAATCGTATATTGGATAGATGAATATATGTGATTAGAAATGTATATTAAACATAATTTGTTGTAAGGTAGACTACCACTATTGAAAATCTAGAAGCAGTGGAGAGCCTTTTCGTCTTAGTATGGGACTCCTTAACAGTGTCTATCCACTTGAGAGTCGAACCAAGAACATTTATTCTCATTTATGAACGCTCAACCACTGAGTCGGTATCCAACAGTGTAATTGTCTAACTTTAACAAATCTTTTTTGGTTATGAACAGCTATTTACCACAAGCAATAGATGGAGATTCGCTCGAGAAATTAGACGTCAACAACATGATATGCCAGCTTAAGGGTCACACTTTCGGAGTCGTGAATGCGCACTACTGTGTTCTATTCTAGGACAAGAAAGCCATAAATTGCTTCCAGGTTTCCAATTGTAGTCTAGCTCTAGATTGCGTGTCCAGATCAATGTATTGCAACAAATTGATGTGATTTCACTAATTGCAAAACATGAAGGTCTTTGATTCAATCCCATATTTAGTTGTACAGTATGTATTTCTGAATAATCTCAACAACAAAAAAATAGACAACAGATATCATTGAAAACAATCGCATAATAGTTTTATACAATTCGAATTTACTAAAATTGTAAATATGGACTATCGAATGCCAACTCAGTGATCTCAAACGATCAAAATATCACTGTAGGTTTTGAATAGCTAATTCAGTTGAATTATGTATGAAGAGGCTTTAATCTAGTACGAATCAATTGTCTAATAATTCATTTCTTCTTTATACAGAAGTGATGGGACTTGGCTATCAGTGGAATCCTTCTCTACTGGATATACCTGCATCCCAAATTTTATATCTACACACTAATAATCCAAACCATTATAAATTCAATTAAAATTCATACATGTTGCACAAATGAATAGTTACTTGGACTCAGTAGCTAAGTGAATAGTACGTTAGCATTTGAATAAAAGGTATTGAGTTCGAATTTAGTAGTGAACATCAACAATGGAATGAAGTTACACCTAGTTGACAAGGACGAAACGCTCATACTGAATTCCACCGCTAGCCGCATTCCATCGATTCTATGTAAACTTGTATCATAATATGCAAAGATGGATAGTGGCTAGCAGTGGAATCCAGGATGCGTGTTTCGTCCTATTTGGGACTCGTCAGCTGGATGTACCTGCATCTCACAGTTGATGTTCACTCCATGACTCTAACACAGTACCGTTCGTTTCAAACGCCATCGCATTATCCACTTACTTATCGACTCCTGATAGTCACTCGCTTGTGAATTTGTATCATAATTATCAGCATAGTCAACTATGACAACTCAAAATATCCCAATCAATACAAATTCAATTGATATTTAGTTTATTCATGAAAACGACATTTTTCAAGTAAACAGTACCAAGTGAATTTAGACTTCACCATCCAGCTCAGAGAAAAAAACTTCACCAAAAAGACTTCACCACATTACACAAGCAAGTGGCTATTAGAACTAAGTAACTAAGTGGATAATGTGATGATGTTTGAAGTGAACGGTGCTGGGTTTAAGTCATGGAATGAACATCAACTCTGAGGTGGAAGTACATCCAGGCGACATGTTATAAACAAAACGATACGCACATTCTGGATTCCATACATCTTTGTTTATGTACAAACTCTTTGTTTACAAGAAGATATAGTTATACATTGATGCCTTATTCTGATTTATTGATTAGATTATTTTCAATAAACTAAATTGATTTCTTTAAACTGTTACTATAATAGAACAAACAAATTCAATCAGAGATCATGAAAGAAATCATAATAATAATCAACAGGATTAAATGATCAAGTTTCCTTGTTTATCATTTAATGATGATGATGATGATGATGATGATGATGATGATGTGATCTGTTTATTTTGTTTATCAATGTGTCCATTTGTCTCTAAACATTCCTCATTCGATTGTATATTTTATTGCATAGATCAACAACTAAACAAACAAACAAGCAAACATTGTAAACAGATATCTTATTATCCATTATAAGAATGTCATACTTCATAACTGAAGTTATAGATTAATCAGGATAAATAGAGAGATGGGAATGAAACAACTAAATGAGGAGTGGGAGGTGGGGTGGAATGGGAAATGATATGTTAATCCAATGTGAAATTATCATTAAAATTTGGGTGTTGTCTTATTTATTAATGAAACACATATACTACTTATATACGTGTATGGATGTATTTTGTGTATTACTTTGAAATATTACAATATGCTTTCCAAACTATAACAAGACTTATTTACCCTCAATTCATATAATAAACTTAACAGGAAACAAAAAAAACCCAGTGATTATTTTTATTATGAATGAAATAAAACTATTCAGTAAAATTGAAGAAGGTTAATGTGATTAAGGTGAGTTGGAACTTTGGATTGACTATATATGAAACACTATTGAAAAGTGTTTTTAGTAATTTTGAACTCTTCAGTAATGTGTTCGAAGCTGAGAATCTTCGGATTTAATTTATAGAATAACAACTTGAAACCAATACATTTACATTTTTGTAAATCACCAAGTCAAACTAGTGATGGTAATCCATGTCAGGTAGAGATAGGTATCTACCTTAGTACAATGGAAGATGGTCGGAGGTTCAGAGGTTAGTTCTTGGATGGATCAAGTTTGCTGGGTTCGAATCTCGTGAGCAGGGTCGTAGATATACACTGCTGAAGAGTCCCATACTAGGACGAAATAACTGTTCAATGTGTCCAGGTTTTCCATCGTGGTCTAACACTAATCTATCCATGATCTCAACCAAAAGCTTGATAATCTCCACAATTCCATGCTGATATAAAGACACTATCAAAATATTAAAACCGGAGAAATTGTAGCGAACACATTAAAGCCATTGCACTCTTACAGGTTTTATTAATTCACTGACGAAATACTCTTCATGCTTATAGATAACTTCTTTATTAACTTAAAAGTACATTTTTGAGTTGGTTGTTTGAATCTTCTCAGTGATGTATAGGACTGCAATTGATCATTTGCTTATTGGCATATGTAGATTCCGTGCAAATTGCCTCGATATTGCCTTAAATTACAAGCATTATAGACAAATGGTCGTGCAGTCCCGTTGATTAGTTGAAGTTAGACATTAACATCGATGGATACTGACTCAGTGGTATATAGAGATTAAGTGTCTGCTCGCTAGACCGAAAGTTCTGGGTCCGAGTCCCGTATGCGAGATCGTGGATGCACATAGCTGAGGAGTCCAACTCTAGGACAAAACAACCATCCAGTACTTCCAGGTTTTCCATAGTGATCTAGCTTTAATCGACTCATAAATTTAAATATATATATCATCTATTAACCACTCTTTCATATACTTTTTATTCTGCTTATATTTTATAAATTCTTAAGGGAAAACACATCCACACAGTATAGTACAATGTAGTTTTTTTTTTCTTTTATAATTTCAATCTAATATTCAGAGAATCGAATAGTTCATTTGCATGTACTAATGAAATTCCTAAGGGAAACTAAACTTTACTTTCAATTAACTAACTAACTAGTCATATCGTCGGGATTCTTTCATTTGAAGGCGGTGGGTCTTCTTAATAAAACGTTGTTTATTCTCCTATATTCGCCTTTCTTTCCCCCTTTTTCTTCCTTTTGTCTCTATGGTATTCATTTATTATTCAAAGTATATATGAAATATTATCATAAAACATAATGAATATTAAAAAAGAAATCATGTTTCGATAATTTTCTGATATTCAATATACGTACGTGAATTGTAGATTTCAATTTGGTTAAAGTCCATTTTTTATACAAGAAACATGAGGAAATTACTGTCTCTATGTATGAAATGTGTGTGTGAGAGAGAGAGAGGGAGAGAGGGAGAGATACAGAAAGAGAGAGAGAGAGAGACATACCGAATTATATGACACTTAATTATTATTTCAATTCCTTTTTATTATTTTTTTAAATTCACTAATTTAAAACGCATTTTACTGTTCATCTTTTCATAGTGAAAAGTTTCATGATTGGAGTATTTCGATGTGTGTGTGTAGGTGGGTGAGTGTTTGATGATGGTGGGGTTAGGGATTGTGTATTTTGAGTAATTTTCTTGTAAAATTATTTTTCTCTTGACTACAAAAAAGAAACACCCAAAGATTTTGTAGTAATTAGATTGTTCATTCATATGTATATACATACTCAAATACCTACATACATATATAGATACATACATTTAGAATCCATTAAAGTTGAGTTGAAATATTTGTCAAATTTTTAGACATACCCTAAGTTGGGTAAAGTAATTTGTGAACATTGTGAAATTTACTAAAAAAAAGTAATTTTATGATCAAGAATAAAATTTTGTGAATATTTTAGTAATTCTTTTTTAATAGTTGAATTCATGGGAAATTTGGAAGTATTGGACAGTTGTTTGATGCTAGTATGAGTGGGTTTCTTCAACAGTGTGCATCTATAATCCTACACATGAGATTCGAACCTAGGATCTTCAGTCTGCCTCTTGAGCGAACGCTTAACCTCTAGATTACTAAGCCTGTATCCGACATTGTTAATGTCTGACTTCAACCAATCCACTGAGTACTCTTGAGGAGTTCCATACTAGGACGAAATGGCCATCCAGTACTTCCAGGTTTTCTATCATGGTCTAACTTTAATCGACTCATGAATTCAACTGTTAAGAAGTAATTTTATATTGCAAATTCTACACAAACTCCTTACATTTTAGATAATTCTTTCTAAGGTGGTAAGTAAGGACTGTGATTGATGAAGTTTAGTTATATAAATGGCCAGGTATATATAGCCCATGCTAGGGAAGTCCTACTCACTGTCTTCTTGCAAAATCGCGAGAACGAAAAGCGAATCTTCGCGTTGGTTGTAAATGAGAATCCACCTAGGGGAGTTGTAAAACCCTAATTCCAAACCACATTTACTTCAGGATCTTGAGAGAAAAAATGGAGTATAACCCTATTATCTGTCATTGAATACTATGGGACTGCATATCCTGCCGTTTCTCTATTGCTCGTGGATAAGACCTTTAGGTCGAGGACTCCGGGTGTGACCACTAAGGAAAACCACTTGCTTCGGTCTGGGCACTAGGGCTGTATCACAGCCCACACTGTGAAAGCATACCTTTAGAACAAACCTTATAATGGTAACTTTGAAGAACATTTTGACCAGCTTGATAATGGAACTATCTATTTAATCTTTAACAGTTTTCTTTAGCCCAATTTAGATTTGTGGTACTATAGTGTTTCCTTCTTCATTCCGAAAGGATAAGAATGTTTTGGAGCGCATCTAATGGCGATCCATAGAATTGATATGAATGCTATAATTCATGCGTTATGCTAAATACCATAAATCTATGAATTTTTACCCGTTAAAATATAAGTGACTCGAAGGAGATCTTTTAACGACTCATATCTTCATAAGAACTCCTGCATATTCTACAGTAG